TCGTCCAATTTTGCGAATTTTGTGTTAACCGGGGCAAATGCGCTGAAATTCGCGACCTCGTCAGTACAATAACTAATTGAACGTGACGAGAGGCCGCTGGAATGTCAGGAACAGGAAATAAAAAAATGTAAGGAAACAAAACCATAAAGAGTTATGTGAACTCAAATGCATTCCGAGGGCAAAGTCTGTTTCGCTATTGGTCTGCTAGCTCGAAGCCAGAAGACTGAAAATTCGTCCAAACGCCGGGAAACTCGTTCGATGTTGAGATGTAAGAGAGGTTTTGTGGGGGCCTTTTGACTTTTTTTTCTGGTGTTCTCTCCAGTGGCGCTCTGTACCACTTTACACCTTATGGTCCGATATGAATGCCACAACCATCATCTAATCATCGTACACTGTCTTTAAGTTCTATTTTTTCTGTCCTGTTGAGGATTCCGAATGAAACATATGTATGGCGTTCGATGTTATGGATCTCAGTACATGAACACGATTTCCGGAAACATAATGATATCGCTCTGCTCTGAACATTTCTTCTCATGCCAAGCCTAATCAATTCAAATTTGTGATTTGTCTGAATCAGCTCTATTCATTATGCGCTGCAGAATTCGGTATTGATCGAAATTTTGTTGTCTGGAAATTCCACAGTCGTCTATTTCAGTCCCGATTCCACTTCCCATTGATGTTCGACGTGCATGTGATCGCTTGGATTTGGTGTGGGTTATGTGCTGGAGCTAGTATATTTGTGGCAAATTTGAAGAGAAAGACGTATCCACGAGACGCTGCCGAGAACAATGCGGAATTTCGTGGATTGCAACGACGCTTCCTCTTTCCTTACTTGGTTGTCCTCTTCTCAGAAAGCTTACAAGTAAGTTGCGCAACTTTCAAGACTCGGTTCCTTTGTAAATACCCTTACTTGTCAAAATTCATATCAAAAAAGAGTCAAATCCTCACGTGAAGGTCCTATATTTAGGCTCCGTATCTCTACGCGTTTTTCTACGATCTCAACTTTTTACCTACACAAATAGCTGTTCTGTATGTAGTCGGTCTGATTTCGAACATGGTCTTCAGTTTTTACTGTGTGCATCTTTCGGCAAGATACGTAGTAGGCGCCGGATTGCGAGTGGGCGAGCAGGAAGTGAAGTCATTGTTGCACCCATTTTCTGCCTCCCTTCACTGCCTGCTTAAGGCGCGAAAGGGGAAGGGGGAGCATGTCAATTGCGTCTTCCATGGTCCTCTTCCTAACGGCCAGCTGTTCCGATGCGGTGTCTTAGTCCGCGTTCACAATACAACGCGTGTACTTTTGCGTAAGTTGCGTAAGCTGCGTAAGTTGCGTAAGCTGCGTAAGTTGCGTAAGCTGCGTAAGTTGCGTAACCGACGACAACTTCGAGAAGAATAGATACGTATCGATCCGACGAAACCGACGGAAGTAGCTGTGAGGCCATTTTTTGCATTTTGAGAATACTTCTCTACCACCTTTTTCATTTTTAAATCTATATCTCTTCCGATTTCTTAATCATCTCAATTTTATCTCAATGCATTCTGTCCCTGCTTGGTTTTTCGAGAAAAATAGCATGAACGTGACTTATGAGCGTGCGAGTCGCGGTAGTATATTAACGCATATTTACTTCACTACACATCCACAGTCAAACCTACATGTCAACTCTCGTCGTCGGTAAAAAAATAAACAAATAAAAAACAAATAAATAAATGTAAAATAATAAATAAATAAATAAGTAAACATAAACAAATAAACAAATAAATAGAATAAACCAAGATTATTAGGAACATCTCTGCTCTGATTGTGAACCTCATGGAATTCTTAAAAAAAAAATCAAGGGCACTGCGTGTGCCGACGTGCCGCCGCGTCTGCACCGCAAACTCTACGAGCAGCCAAATCGATATGTATCTAGTCTGCGTGAAGCTGTCGTCGGTTACGCAACTTACGCAGCTTACGCAACTTACGCAGCTTTCGTTGGATCGATACGTATGTATTATTCACGAACCAGTCGCAGCTTACGCAACTTACGCAGCTTTCGCGACGGACGTCGGACGGCGAGGTCGCACCGTAATTAACGCAGCTTTGAGTTCATTGGCGTCTGAGCACTTAGCCGTGAAAACGTCGCTACTAATGTTTTAAGGTCGCGGGCTCTTTGCCTTGTGTATAGCTATGGCTAGGCCCATTCTGGTCTGTGCATGCTAAACTCCAATCCATAGTCGTGTTGTAATCCTTTTATTGGACGTTGGTACTAATGCCATCTGTTGCGGCTCTCGGTCTACGAGCCACATTCCAGCAATGGTAAGTTACGAGGGCAAAAGAAAGAAGTGTATGGTGGGAGTGGTGCAGCGGAGGCTGCGTCTGGTTTGGGATATTGATAGGGTTGAGGGGGGGGGCTGTCAGTTCGTAATCCTTAAAGATGTGCCCACTTTCGGCGTTGCTAACGCTTCCTGTTTTGTGGACGTCGTTTGCAGGTACGCCGATGAACATCAGATTACATTCGATTTCCCTCCTGAATGGATCCAATCGACTTTCCTCATGCTATCCTTATTCGCCGGTTTCTTATCAGTCACAGCTGGCATCACTTCTCATATAGTTGTGGGTATATCGAAAGTGATTGTGTTACCGTATATCTTATCGATTGGAACATTGGTAATCGGTGAGTTCTGCATGTACTGAATATTTGACTGAATAGCACACCTTGAGGGGGGGGGTATTTGAAGAGCCTCTCTGCGCGAAAGCGGAGATACATCCATGCGACCAGAATTATCGTACTTTGAACTGCCAGAGCTCCTTCCTCCTGGCGGAAGTCCATTAATCCCATTTTTGCATAAGTAGTCCTTGAAAAATATCTAAGGTTAGGGGCGTCCAGTCCTATGACAAATTTGTAATTTTTCTATATTTGTTTGCAGGCGGAGCTTTCATCACATCACAGTGGAATGAAAATCGTTCAGTTGATGCGCCGTTGCCGTTCAGAAACGTTATTGGAAAAGCTTTGACGGTATTTGTTCATCTTTGTCATTATACCTCTTAGATTCTGCAATGACCAAGTGGGCGGAGACAGAGGTCACTGTGGGTTTCTCACTTGTTGTAAGGTGGTAAGGAATGGGGTGGCTCACCATCTCTGCTCCAACTATCTGCTCTAATTGTGTCCCCCACACCCGGGGGATGGAGACCGAAGCACTGTAATCTTTGAGTCAAGCTCCGAATCCCAAAAAAAGATTGATTTGTGGCACAGAGACTGTCCTTTATCCTTTCTTCATAAATCACGTACCCTCCACAGGTCTGTATGGCCCTATGGCATCTAAAAGCCTCACAGTTCTGACCTGAACTGGATGGCGTGCCGCATCCGAGAAGGGTTTGACCAACGACGTATGCTCTGTCCTTTATTTATAGCTTGCAGTAAGGAAAATCGTTATTGTTTCCTCCGTGTTTGCAGGTGATACGCTCGAATCCGATGGCATTTGTGATAAGTGTAACGTCATGTTGTGCTGAGATGGCATCTCAAATGTTTGTGTTCGTGTGGGCTCCGCTTTTCATTCGTGCGGAACATAGTAGCATGAAAAGGTAACCAATCTCATGCAGTTGTGTCAGTGCGATTCACTCAAAAAGCCTCAAGAAGCTGTCAAGAACTAGTAAATAGAGTGGCGAACTGGGAATGGGATATTCTGCGATTATAGCATGTGTGGAGACAGATGACCATTGTGCATCTCTCGGGCCGCGTTCAGACTCCTCGATGACGCACTAGTAGGGCTTAGTAATTCATAGCAGCGCGTCGTCGGTAACTCTGATCACAGCATCCCTCCGTAGTGGGGTAAATAGATGGGGGGGGGGCACTAATGAAATGTGGCAGACGTTTGTGACTCTGCTACCATTTTCACATTGGTTGCAAAAATGGCTTGAAATGGTCCACTGAAGAAAATCTTCGGGAAGTGTGATAATTAATAAATTGAGCTGTTTCTGAAGGTACATTCCGCGTGATAATTTAGGAGCAGGAATGGGTGCAACCAGTATGCCTTCCTTATTGTAGCACCCCTCATTCCAGTACGGTAAAGAAATGGAAAGCATCAGCGAAGAAGTTACAGTGCTTGTGATTTCATTCCATTTTTGCGCCCTTCTGATCATTGGTGTGTCTTTAATCTGGAGGCTCCCTCCCGAAGCGCTTAGTTGAGGCGCTTATGGTTTGAGAAGCAGAGTAGACAGGAGATCAGGGTAGTCAGAAAGTTGGGGTTGGTCATGTGGGCGGAGACGGATCTAGCACTGCACCTTCCCGATTGGCCGGCCCCTCGTCCTCATCGCCATTGCAGAGTAGACGCTCCAATAAAGAATGCATTATAGTAGGCTCGAGGCCACGCAACCGATCAGCGTGGGATGTGTGTTTAAGGAAGTGATTACTTATGAAGTTGTAAATTGTTCTCGCCTTTATGATGCAGCTCAGTTCAATTTGTTGTCTCGTTACAGCGTTTTGCTTTGGTATAATTTGACCGTCGTTCGTTGCATCGTATTTGGCCGGATTACTGCTGTTCTCTTCGCTCGCGAAGAGAATGAGGAATTCAAGGCTTTTGTTGCTGTCAATGACTGTGGCCTTTCTGGTTTTTGTTGTAGCGTAAGTTCTTTCAGACATTTTTCCTTCAATGTTCTCGGGGGGAGAAAACGATGTTTTAAAGCACACATAGTACAGCTCATACACATACACGAAAACCAACATCCGCTGACAGGCCCGACTGACTTCACTGATAATGACCACGTATGCAGATGTAAAGGAAAGTATGGCGTGGCTTAAAGACACATGGTATGCTCAAACACATTGAGGGTGTATGAGACTATCAGCCCCCCAGATGTCGATGTGTCGTGGTCCCCCGCCCAAACATGCCCGGGAATGGAGATACAGGGCCGTGAAACACGCTAATTCTTCCATGCTCCGCCCACTGCCTTTTTACGGCGCAGATTCCCGCCGTTGATAACATCCGTTGCAAGCGCGCGTGTCGCGTGCGGCTCCTTGGCACTTTGCCAAGTCCTTTAATTGCGCTCTCAAATACGAGTAAAACGCAATTTCCTGATGCGGATAACATTGGAGGTGCTACAAAATAAGACAGAAGATGATGACAAGGGGCAGAACTCAAGAGCAACTCGGCTGCATCTGCAGTATCCATCAAGGGCCGCGCATTCCCACAAAACATGAAAATAAAAACAGCCCAAGCGTCCCACTCGTTTGTTCTAAGTATTTCTATGGCTTTGGCGCCGGATCGTAGAAATTTACAGGCCAGTTTATCTAATTTGCCTTTCCTTGATTTTTTCATTTTTGTTTTGTTTACATTTACATCGTTGTGCTTCATTTCTAGCCTGTGTCATCTTCATCTCCTTGTACATGGATTTTGAAGCATGAGCAACACCTTAAATTTTATTCGCATCAGGAAATTGCGTCTTGCTTGTATTAAACTAACGAGTATGCCGTTTTTAGTTTTATTTTCATGTTTCGTGGAAATACGTGGCCTCCGAGGGATGTTGCAGAAGTGGCACAGTCGCTTTTAGGTTCTGACCCTCGTCATCATCTTCTGCTCTTATTTTGTAGCACTCCAATGTCAAATATCCGGCATCGGAAGTGCGCTCTTTCTTGTATTTGAGCGCGCAATTAAAAGGACTTGGCAAAGTGCCAAGGAGCGCGACGGCGACAGGCGCGTGCTAAGCGGCATGTTATAGGCGGGACATTCTGCGCCGTAAAAAAGGCAGTGGCGGAGCATGGAAAATTAGCGTCGTGTATCCCGGTCCCTGGTATCCCAACCCTTCCCGGGACATGTTTGCGGGGCGGACAACAACACACTCGAACAATCTGGGGGCTGAATAGTCTCCATACACCGCTCAACATGTAGTCAATGAGGCGTACTATCTGTTTTAAATGGCCGATAAATGTCGCGGGCAGTTATAACCTTGGGGTGGCCCAAACATCGAAGTGCTCGTCGGCATACCAAATCCTGTAAACTGGGTACATGTAAATAGCGAATATCAACATCCTGCAAGCTGATTATAATCCCGTCCACAGGCCCGTCAAACTCCAAAGTGAACTGTCAAACATGACTGGTTATTCGGAGAGAAATGAAGAAATGCCTCTGAAAGACGCTATTACCGTTTTCGTTAAGCTTGACAGGAGTTTAAACGGTAATTGATAGGATTTCACAGGAGTTGCGGGGTGAGACTCGATGGCGAAAAGAGAAAAAAAAACGAGCACTGTGACAAGCGCTTACAGGTGCGGCACCCCAAGGCTGTTAGCGCAGTAATTGTCGCGGTTCCCGTTTTTCTAAGACTGCTGGACCTCTGGATCTGTAGCGTGCGGTAATACAACAAGGCTAACCGCGCTCCTCCTCATAGCTACATCCTGCTTTCACATCACCTGTATAACAATGGGCGTCCTATTATTCTCCACTGATTTTGAATAAATGTCGGAATGCGTCCGTGGCCGTAAATTCCGAGCGACGCTGATATGAAGTGTGCCGATGCCGATTATGATCTCCTTGACCTCTAATGAATACGGGGAGGCAGGGAAAGTAGGGATAAGGTGAAACGATGTTTATTGTTAACGCAGTTTGGTTTATGAGATGCCAACGACCGGGAGACGTGTCTTTGAGCGGGGGGGGGTTATTTTTTCTTGTGACTTCTTTATTTGCGGCAGTCTGGCGCGACACCAATCCGTTCTCCATCAATAGTGGAAGCTGGCATGCACTACATCTGGTAGCAAATGGGCTAGAGCTGCGCCAAATCCAGCCCCTGACACGCTTCAGCATCCGCAGCGAACAAGACTGTAGCTCGTCCCAGACGTTAGAGGACAAATGTGAAGCGCATTTCAGGAAAGCGATCGAGCCTTGTGCTTCCAATGTTGAGCATTGCTCACGCCCTTTTCCATCTGTCTATTTTCTTTTCGTTTTTATGGCTTTCTGTTGCTGCGGAAGATACACACACTTCTTTAGTATCCGTGAACTGCCATATGCACACAGCGATTGGACCGCCACTCGTTTTGAGCGCGTGTTTCTCTGTTTGGTAGTATTTGAGATTGCCTGTGGTGTTTATAATCCATCCATGGAAGCTTTACAGGTGAGCAGAGAATATGCTCTTCATTGAACTTACCTGTTTCGAAGGGTTAGTCCACGCTGATCATGTGGGCGGAGTCCAGCCTATCATTGGTGTTTCCTGATTGGTGCGCTCATGAGAGGGCTGTCAATGAAGAAACCATGATGGGCTAGGCTATAGGATCAGCGTGATCTGTCTTTAAGTTTTTATTGGGGAAGTGCTTGCAATATTCCAATTGTTAAGGCCATCGTGCTGCCGTTTTTACATCAGCGTACGGTTCTATTGGCTCTTGTTCGTCTTCCATTGACGTTCTTCGTCTCGCTGTCGATCCTAGCGTTTTTCCCAACCCCGGGCGGCGAATTTAAATTGATGGTGTTCGTTGTTGTGTGAGTTTTACTGTAATTTCTCTTTCATTTTTTCTTGTTGAGACATCAATAGGCCCGTGTTCATACTTTGCGGCACGAGCCAATTAGTCGCACAATTTGGGTATCAAGAAGCTGCAGCCGCACTCCGCCGCCAATCGTTGGACCGCTGCAGTTACCCGCGCTTTTTGAATCGCGCGACTGATAAGCTTGTGTCGCGAAGTATGAAGGCGGTTTGTGGAATTTTGTTATTCTTTCAGGAATTTGATGTCTCAACAAGAAAAAAAAAATGAAAGAGAAATTACAGTAAAACTCACACAACAACGAACACCATCAATTTAAATTCGCCGCCCGGGGTTGGGAAAAACGCTAGGATCGACAGCGAGACGAAGAACGTCAATGGAAGACGAACAAGAGCCAATA